GGGGGGGGGGGGGGGGGCGTGCACCCCATGTACACTTGACAGGCGCATATTCAGAAAGGAGACTTCAGGATGGGCAGCACGGTAGTTTCTCCTCAGGGTCCATTCCCAACTCCCTGGTAAGCTGGGATTTCTTGCTCCCCGGGTGGTGGAGTTTGCAGGAGAGGCCAGGGCTCCCCGGGGGCAGCAAAACTGCCCATTAAGGGCCAGGCATTCCTGGTGTGGTGACCTGTGGCAGATTTATACTGCTTGGTGGTCAGGGTGAACCAGCCGCCAGACAGGGGCTCCGAGAGACTAACCCACGTCATGAAGTAGTTGAGACCAAGGGAAAGTAAGACACATGAAGTCCCCTAGGATAGACTGCTCCGTACCTGGAATCGCCACCTGAACGATGTGAAGGTCCTCAACACCTGCAGCGGAATTCACCACACCGAGTGAATCTGTCTTTCCTAAAGACAGATGGCAGTTTAGAATCTACAGAAAGCGAGGCCAACATGTATAAATAACAATATATAATATATAAAGAGTCTGCGGGGAAGGGAGGGAGGGAATAAAGAGGCGCTGATATCAAAGGGCTCAAGAAGAAAGATGATGTTTAGAAACTGTTGATGCCAACATTTGTACACATCCACTTGATATAATGGATGTATAGTTTGTTATAATATATGTAAGAGCTCCCAATAAAATGATTAATTAAAAAAAAAAGCTTTTAACTTAGAAAAAAAAAAGAACAGTGAGGCTAAATTCTTCTCTCAACATGTGAGGGGGCCACTGTGACCAGAAGCCCAGGCTGGATTTGACGCTGGGAGGGCTTGAACTTCCAACCCTTTGGTTGGCAGCTGAGTACTGTTCATGTATATCACCCAGACTCCTTAGCAACACAACACACACACACACACACACACACACACACACACACACACCACCCCCCATCTATTTCTATTTCTCCAACAACTGTCCTCTTTCAAAAACCAAACCAAACTCACTGGCAATGATTCTGAGTCACAGCCACCCTCTATCTAGGACAGGTTAGCACCGCCCCTGTGTTTCCAAGAGCGTAACTCTTTCTCTGGCACAGCGGCTGCTGGGTTCAAACTGCTGACCTAGTATTTTAGCAGCCCAGCTCATAATCCACTCCGCCACTCCTGAATTCCCTGAGCAAGGCTAAAAAAACATGCATTCCAGCCCATGGGGATATGACAAGACAACTAACCTTCGACCTTCACCTCAGCTTCGGCGTCCTCCCTTGCTTCTGAAGGGACAAGCGGAGAAGAATCTTGAAAACACAGTTTCGAAAATGTCATTTAGGATTAAATATTTTCCTCTTCCAACACCCCACGGCTCTCCTCCTAAAAAAAGGGTAGCTCTCGCCAAGCCAATTGGCATTCTCCATATGCTTACTGAACAGGAAAGCGATTTTTCATTTTAAAAAGGTCAAAGGGCAGGTGGGAACATTTGGGTATTATCAAATGGTAGAGACCAATGGGATGGGGCAAAGATTGGTGTAGTTTCCTGTGGTCATCAGAGATGACCAGGAGATCAGGAAACATTTGCTTTGGTCAACGATCCACCCCCCACCCTTCCTGCCAGCACCCCTGGTGTGATTCTGATTTTATTATTACATGGAGCGCCATACATTTTTCTTGGTGGACAAGAGTGATATACATTCAATTCTACATCCAGACAAAAAGGTAAAAATAAATCCTAGCGAGAACAGACCAGAGCTCCTACCTGGCTGGAGAGCCTTACCAATGACAGTTAGTAGTCAGTAAGGGGGTAAGACTAGACAATTGCACTGCACTGCTCTGCTCTTGTTGATTGGGCAAGTTCATAGATAGTGTGGAGGAACCCCGGGGAAGACACAGGGACCACACTGTTTTACCTGCCTCTGAATTGATAATGATTTCATGATGCAAAACAAAACTGGGACCATCTTCAACCCCCCCCCCCCCACCACGTGAATTCAGGCTCGTTGTTCACGGCCTTCGCCTGGGGCTTCAAGAATGGGCTGTTCAACAGGAGTGTTTTCAAGGCCAGGCCCACATCCAGTGAAGAAATTCCGAGTCTTAACTGGATGGCATTTCTACACCGGTCGGAGGTCATCCTCTTTCTAGAAACTCCCCATTAAAAAAAAAAAAGCCCAAGCTACCAAAATCTCCTCACAAGGGAAGTGCAGTGGCTTGGAAGAGAAACCGGTTAGGTCCCTCCCCCTCCCCGCAGAGAAAGGCCGCGATTGCATTGAAGCAAAAGCCAGAAACAGAAACAACGCCGTTTTTAAGAAGGAAGTTAACGGGCCTTCGTGGCTTTATGCACTTCGGTTCAGAGATGACTAATTTGGCGAGGACACGAACCCCGGTAACGCTGGACTGGGCCGTGGGAGGCTCTCTACTGATTGCAGGTCAGAGTGGTCTCCGTGCAGGGGGCTGGGGAGTCGGGAAGCATCGTCCCCACCGAGGACTCCGGCCCCAAACCAGCAAAGCTCCGGGACGCCGGCACCCCGCTCCTGGGCGCACATTTCTGACTCCGGAAAAACAAGCGCGCCCAGGCGTTGGGGCGAGGTGCTGACCAACCCGGCTTGCGACTGCACCCCGCTGTACCGGCCGCGAGGAGGACGCGTGACCCGGCGGACGACGAGAAAACGTTCTTGAGCTTGTCCCAAAGACTGTGGGTGGGTCACTGCTAGACCAAAGGGCACCAGTTCGCAGCACTCCGCCGGGCTCTCTGCACGCCTCTCGTCTACATCCGGGTTCGCCCTGGAGGGCCTGCATCCGGGTTCGCCCTGAGGACCTGCATCCGGGTTCGCCCTGGAGGGCCTGCATCCGGGTTCGCCCTGAGGAGCGTGCATCTGGGTGCTCCCCGAAGCGTCCCTGACAGACCGGAGCCAAGGTCAAGGCCAAGAGAAGGCCTCAGCCAGTTCAGGCTGCAGGCTATTGCAACCTTCGTCAACCGGACGTGACTGTTTAAGAGACTTGGGTTCTCTGTCGAATCGTGGCAAGTAACACACAGGAACTGGAATGCCTCATTTTCCCAGCCTTCCACGGGTGGCTGTTTCTGTCACGTCTCTATTGGAAGCATGACGGCCCCTTGAGCAGGAAAGCAGGGGCCTCTTGTTCAAGGACTATCAGTCGGTGACACGCAGTGCAGGACCCGCGGGAGATGCGGGGCGACTCTTCTTTTCCCTTTCAAGTAAAACTCCAATGAGCCTTCTGATCCCTGTTCTTTATGCGCCCTCGTTTGCATATTCTGGATCCTGACTCAGTTATGTTTTCATCATGCAGCCCTATTAAGATCTACGCAATCATCACCACCAGCAACGTGGGAGCGTTTTCTTCTCCTCATTTCCTCCACCCCCGCTGCCGTGGCCCCCATCCAGTGACTGTTCCCAGACAGCTTCCTAGCCCGCTGACCCTGACAGAAAGCACACAGAATCAAACGCACTCATCCAAAGCAAACGGACAAAACCAACAGCGACTAGACAAGACAGAACCATCTTAATCAAAGAGAAAGTAGACAACATTCAAAATGGTAACTTTAAAATGGGTCGAAAGGGAGATCAGATGATAGGGTATTCCATCGTATCCTAACTCCGTCTGCCATAATCAGTGTTGCAGTGCTCTCTGTATGAGAGCAAGGCTATTCCCGTCCCTCGAATGTGGTTAGAGGAGATTCACCAGAGACTTGATCCAGGTGGGGGCTGAAGGAGAGAATCCTAGCAGAGCTTAGATTGTGAACACCTGGTTTGCAGAAGCCGACGATGTGTCATCAGGGATTCACAATTTAAGTTCTGATACCGATTTCCTCCTTCGGATTTGGGTTTTCTTATTTACAACCCTCACCATGAGTGAGAATCTCCCTGATGGGACCGAACGAACGGCAGCAACAAGTCCCACTAGACACACTGGCCTTCTGGAGGCTGGTGGACCGACTGTGGCCCTCAGACATCCTTCACACCTGAATCTGAGCCCAGCGCCAGGGATCACTTTACATCCAAACAGCAGACAGGCTGTGCTGCCCCCAAACCAGCCCTTGGAGCCCAGAAGGGCAGGTTCATCAAAGCAGAGCTCAGAGGGCAGGAGGGGCCAGGAGGAGGAGGAATCAAAATGAAACCTGAGGAGGAAGGAAGAAAGTACATTACGGGAAATGTGACTAATGTGAGGGAAATACAGTGTGTAGAAATGGTTGACTAGGAAGCGAATTTGCTCTGTAAGCTCTCATCCAAGCCACACTTAAAAAAACAACTCTGCATTAACCAATTACAATCTTTCATGTGGGGGATGAATTTCATCATTCTTAAAACATATACAAACAAACCCCCCTCGGTATTTTCTTCTTCTCCCCACTCCCTCTGGCCCCCTACCCCCCATCCAGGTTCTCCTTTGGGGTTTGTCTGAGGTTTCAGGGGATGCAGGCTTTGCATTCTCAGGAAGCAGCCAGCACAGACATCCTGCCTGCAGAGATGCGGGTGGTGTCCACCCCACTGGGTGCTCATTTTGTCCACCTACGTGTCCTCTAGTTTCCCACCACACAATTACTGATTATTTTTCCCCTCTTACAGTCACTACAAGTTGGGATGGACTGGACGCTCGTGAATTTGGGTATAATGGGGACTAACCCGAAGGGTGTGGGGAAGAGACGTTAAGATATGGGAGTATCCTATTTAGGATCCGGTGATGATTATGGTGCTGTGGGGTAAGTGCTGGACTGCTAACTGCAAGGTCAGTGGCTCAAAGCCACCCATTGCTCTATGGAAAAAAGATGAGGCTGTCTGCCCTTATAAAGATTTACTGTAAGTTGATTTGGGGTTGGGTGACTCTGGCCTGCACATACACACAAAAGATGGAGAGAAACTTGCTTTATAAGTTACTTAGGAGGCCCATTAACTGCAATGTGGGGCAAAAATAAAACTCACATCATTGAGTCATTCCGACACACAGTGACCCGATAGGACAGAGTAGAACTGCTCTGTGGGTTTCCGAGACTGGAACTCTTAAGAGAGTAGAAAGCCTCATCTCTTCCAATGAGAGGCTAATGGACTCAAACTCCTGACCTTGCAAGTTAGCAGCCCAATGCAGAGTTAGCAGCACGATGCCACCAGGGGCCCTGATTAAAGGAAACCAATTGCCAAAAGGCATCTATGGAATGCCAGATGCCGAGAAAGTGCTGGAGGTGGAAAACACTGTCACTTGGCACCATTATAAAGGCATTTTGGATTCATTCAACCATTGGTGGACGTGTGGGCTGTCTAGTCCTGCCCACTGGAACTCGTGCAGGTGTTGAGTAGAAATTCTCTTGGGTCTCTGATCTATGCGTGGAGCTGGTGGGTCACGTGGTAACTCTTCACTCCCTGAAGAGCCTCCAGATTGTTCCCGAAGCGCCTCCAGCGTTTCCTCACTTCAGCAGCATCGGTTCCTGGTCATACGCCACCTCTGGAAATGGTTGGACATCCTCAGGTGCAGTGTTACTGCGTATTTCTCCCATCTTCTTTTGATTCGTCCTGCATCATTGGATATTCTATAGGTAGATGCTCACAGATCAGCATTCACTGGCAATGACCAGGGGTGGGGAGGGGAGGGAGGGAGCGATGGGGAATCGCTCTCTAGTTCAGCGGTTCTCAACCTTCCTAATGCTGAGACCCTTTCAGACAGTTCCTCATGGGGTGGTAACTGCCCCAACCATAACATTATTTTCATTGCTACTTCATCACTGTCATTTTGCTACTGTGATGAATTGGGCGACCCCTGTGAAAGGGTTGTTTGACCCCCGAAGGGGTCATGACCCACAGGTTGAGAACCGCTGCCCTAGCTAGTAGACACTTGTTTGTGTTGGTGATGGCCAAAGAAGCCTGGTCAACGTTTACCCAAAAGCAAAATGAGAAACAGATTGTGGTACTGATGGTGTAACTCTTCTTGACGTGCCTGAACTGTTGGATTGTAAAATATGTGAATTATCTTTTAAAAAAAGTTGGGGGTGGGGAAAGCAAAATGAGAAGGCGAGGGTGAAGGCGCAGGAGATCCGGAGTGATGGAGACAAGTACAACACCAGAGCAAACAAGCAAAGGCACACCGACCTTACAGGACTCGCTAAGCTGCAGAAAGAGTTCAAAGCTAAGATTAGGTAGGAAACGGTTACCAACCAAAACCAAACTCGCTGCCATCGAGTTGATGCCAACTCATCGTGACCCTATAGGACAGGGTAGAGCTGCCCCCGTGGGTTTCCAAGACTGGAACTCTTAACGGGAATAGAAAACCCTGTCTTTCTCATGAGGAGCTGGCTGGTGGCTTTGAACTGCTGACCTTGCAGTTGGCAGCCTAATGTGTAACCACTACGCCACCGGGCTCCTCCAGGAAATGGTTGACATGGGATAAATTACCTGTATCCCTTTGCTCTGCCCACAGTCACAGGCCACTCAAGGGAGGAGGAGGGGTCTGCAGGCTGTACAGGGACCTGGCACCCACCAGAACGCTGGGCTCTTGGGTGTGGGCCTGAGCTGCTTACCACACCTGCCACATTTCCAGTGTGTGCATTTGATATGAACTGTCCTCCGCTCTCTGTGTACCGTGTGTGATGACAACCAGAGTCTCCCGTTTTTATATGATCCCAGTGAAATGGGGACACACTGCACAGGCACAGGAAAGGGTTAAAGAGGAAATGCTCCAGGACACACAAAACAAGAATATTGATGAGGCCAACTCAAGTAAAACGTCCCAGGAAATGTAATGTTGTTCACATGTGCCCCAGAGCAAATGGGTCTGTGCTAAATCCCACCCAACCAAGCCCACTACCACTGAGTCGATTCTGATTCCGGGTGATCCTATATAAGGTTTAAATTGTTACGGAAGCAGACAGCATCATTTTTTCCCCAGGAGCGGGGAAAAATGTGGTGGGGTGTTGGGGGTGGGGTGGGGCGGTTTGAACCATCGACCTTCCAGCACCATCAGGGCCCCTTTGGGATAAACAGAATCTACTTTATGACAGTAAAGATGGCTTGGTGGAAAAAAAAAAAATGGCTTGGTGGCTTACTGGGGTGTATGTTGGGCTGCCAACCTCAAGGTCAGTAGTTTGAACCCACTAACCACAGAAGGAAAATAAGGCTTTCTGTCGCCATAAAGATTTATAGCCTTGGAAACCCAGAGAGGCAGTTCCACCCGGTCCTATAGGGTCACTGCAAGTCGGGACCAACCTGACAGCAGTGGGTGGTTTATAGCCATCAAATGATTTACTCCCAGTGCCAGTGTGCGGATGCTGAGTGAGCACATGGAAACCCTCCATAACTCTTTGCTGGTTTTTCAGATGAGAAGTGAATCACAATTTCCATCACCTGTTACTTTTGGAGAAGGCTGGGATTGGTATTACCTTGCAAAAGATATGGAGAGTAATTGGCATCTTCTTCGGACTCTTTCTTGACAGATGGAGCCATGGCCTTCAGGGGAATTCCTTGGGATGCAAAGGCAACAATAAAAGGAGGTATCAGGTCAGAGGTTAACAATGAAGATGGGCAGCCAGCTACTGAAAGAGCCTCCAGGTTCCGTCTGGATTCACCTAGCACCATGGCAATCAGCAAATGCACTGGGAGCTCTCCGGCAAGGATCAACTTTGGCTTGTCCATAAACTCGTAGGAAGGAGGAAGGAGGGAGGGAGGGAGAGGCTGACAAAGGTCGAGAGGCGGCTAGGTCCCACTTCTGATCCCATTTGGGGATCCTTTCCTTTAAGGTGGCTGAACATACACATGCATTTAACTGAATTCTTGCAGATGTTCTGCAATGGAATGCAATGTTCCCTGGGCCTGGAAAAATAGCATCAGTGAAACCAGAAACCTCTGGAGGGAAGGCTGGGATAGATGGCCAGTGTGCGTGCCCCTTTGCAAGACGCTTCTCCCACCCCAGGACACCCAAGCCAGCCAAGCTGACCCAGACTGCAGACAGGGCTGCGAGTCCACTCCACAAGGTGCTGGAAGACAAAAATCGCATCTTCCTCTTGCTCATTCACAAGGTCACGGAGTCTTTCCCAACTCCCAAGGACCCTCCGGGACAGGGTAGAACTGCCCCCATGGGTGTCCGAGACTGTGACTCTTTACTCTTGGTCCTGAGAAGCGGCTGGTGGTTTTGAACTGCTGACATTACTATGCTACTCCGGGAGCCCGGCTGCCCACTCTCGCTGCTCGCTGCCATAGAGTCCATGCCGACCCAGTGCGAGCCCCTGTGGGTCTCCGAGACGGAACTGTTGAGGGGAGTGGAAAGCCCAGCCTTTCTCCCTTGGAGCTGCTGGTGGTTTTGAACTGCCGACCATGCAGATCACAGCCCAACATGTAACCACTACATCACAGGTACCTCTAATCTGAGAAAAGGAAGAAAAAATTCTTTTTAATTGCTGTCAGGTGTCACTTTTGACAACATTTCACAATAAAATTTTAAGTAAAAGTGCAAGTCCCTACTGGATTAGGCACTAACAACTCTACCAGCAGGAAAAAGAGGTAAATGTGCTCTTTTGTTATGCTGTAAATAAGTAAAATAAAATAAATCCCATTTTAATCCAGACAAACCAACCAGGTCTGACAGCTTGAACTATAGTTTTCAAAATGCTAATGAAAGCCAATTCACTTGGGAAGCCTTTTTCTCCCAAGAGGGAAGGCGAGAGACAGAAAAACAGTTAATGTCCCTTGAACACTAGTCCCATGTAACAAATGACTACACCAATGTCGTGGAAATAAGACCACTGGCTTGGGAGTCCTCAAAGCCAGTATCCACGCTGCATGTTGTGACGGATGGTGGGAAGTCACATTCAGGGGAGCATACTTTTGCCTAAAGGGAACCCCATCTCCACAGAGAACCCTCAACAAAGGAGGCCTATTTTAAGGTGGAATGAGAAATACATCCTGCCCCAACAGCTGCTGTGCAAGGCTGTGGGGCTGTGGAATCCAGAGTCCCCCCCTCAGCTGGAGAGGGTAACTCCTCACACCCACCCCTCCTCTGTCTTTCCAATTACTCAGAAAAGTCTTCAGCGTGGCTTTAAATTCTCTCTTTTTGGGGCTTTAAATTCTCTTGTGACTACCCAAGACACAAGCAGGAGCTTCGAAAAGCATTCAGGAGTAAAATGAGATGGGCAGGAGATGAAGGCACCTCGTCATTTGGTGGCCGAGATTGAGTCCACAGTTCAGTGCTGTTCATGTCTTTGCATGGCTTAGAGCCACCGAGGTGGGCAGGCGCCACTTTCTCCAGACTGACCGGGAGCTGGCGTTTCTCTGGAGGCCACGCTGGCAGGTGGGTGGGAGGGACACAAGACCCCCTGCTGTGCTGCAAGGAGGTGTGTCCTCCAGGAGAACAGAGAAGGAGCGCCACCGAGCGCCTGTGTGAGAAAGAGACCAACTCAAAGCCTCCTCCATGCTCTGGGGCTGACTTCCGCAGCACCCGTCACTGACCACCCCGGGAGCACCACAGGGTGGCCATGTGGAGGCAGCAACTCCACAGCAGCAGCATACCAGTTGTTTGTGCGCCCCCTGCCAAATGGATTCCACCGCATAGCAACCCCATCCCCAAACCCAACTACAGTACATCCACTGCCACCTTAAATAGCAGCCCTTTAGGGCGGGGTGGAACAGCTCGTGGCTTTCCCAAACCGAAACTCTTTAGGAGGGGTTTAGTCTCATCTTTCTCCTCGATGCTGTTTCTCTCTTTTGCTGGTGTGGGGCGCAGTGGGGATGGAGCCCAGCGCTCCGACCCACTAACGGAGCTCTCCCACCAGATAGTGGTCTCTTCAGTCAGTTATTCTAGAACAGGAGTAGTAACAGAAAACTGCATGACAGCAAGGACCCAGGGCATACTCCCAAATGAAGCCAAGGATATCACCGTAAGTCACGTCACAATCCCCATGAGTATCTCACAGTTTTCAGGCACTTCTCCAGGAGCCCTGGTGGCATAGGGGTTACCCATTGGGTTTCTAACCACAAGGCCAGCAGTTTGAAACCACCAAGCACTCCTCATCTACTCCTGTAAAGAGCTACCGTCTCGGAAACTCACAGGGGCAGTTCTATCCTGTCCTACATGGTTGCTGTGAGTCAGCGAGTCGGCATCCACCCGATAACAGTGAGGTTGGTGTGCACGTCACTCCTCACTCAAGTTCTAATTTAAATACACTAGAGCATTATTGCTTCTGCAAATATAGCTCTCTCATTGGATAAGCGTTGGACTGCTAACCTCAAGGTCAGTGGTTCAACCCCAGCAATGGCTCCATACGAGAAAGAGGAGGCTGTCTTCTCCTGTAAAAATTACAGCTTTGGAAACCCTACACAGCCCCTTGGAACCGACTCAAAGGCGATGGGTTTGGTTATTTCTGGAATAACTTCCTAGTGAACATGAACGGATGGACTCCTGGTGCCCCCATGTGGGCCACAAGGGAACTCAGCCACAAGGGGTGTCAGTGGCTGGTCTTTGGGGGAGTTGACCAGCTGGGCTTTCCCCTAGTGGGCTCAAACCCCTCACATTTTGGTCAGCAACCGAGTGTGTCACCGGTTGTTCCACACAGGGACTCCATTATCTTTAGCGTTTGCATTTCCTGAATTAGAGGGTCTAGTTATTTTGGGTAAACTACGCTTTTCTACAAGTGAGGTAACTTCGCTGAGTCAAACAGGGCCTCCTACCCACTGCTTTAGTGAAACAAAAACCGGCCGTCAAAGAAGAACCCCTGGGGACCTGATTCTACAGTTCCAAGACATACCACATTCTTCCGTGGGTTCAGTCTTCACTCGGAGGGAACCAGGGCTGGAAGAGAAAGGGATTCGTTTTGCTTCCGGAGGGTGGGAGCCAGGACAGGTGCCCGCCACTCTGCCCTCACAGGCTGGGTCCCCTGGCCACCTCCTTCCTCCTCAAGAGAGCTGGCGTTTCTACGGAGGCCACGCTGGCACGTGGATAGGAGGGACCCAAGCACTCCCTCTTGCATTGCAAGGGGATGTCCCCTCAGGGAGGACAGAGAAGGAGGCCCAACTCCTGTGGGACTGACTAGGGGCCGTGAGTGCCCCCACTGAACTTCCTGACTGACGGAGACGCTGGCCGCACAACCCCAGCGTGAACTTCCTGACTGAGAGGCTTGCTCTACAACCAGAGCTGTCCACCGAATGGTCTTACCACTCCAGACACAAGAGACGCGGACAGTGGGGCTTCCAGAAGTTCCTGGGGAAATCCCATTCCTTTGGCAAACAGGCCCACACTGTGAACCTCCTCACTAACAAACACCAGTAGTCACGGAGCGGGCACAGGCTCCTGGCGCCCCATGTGGGTCTGCGGGAGCTGTGCCACAGCAGGGTTCAGTGGCTGGCAGGGGGACTCGCCCTTGGGCCTTTCTCATGAGGTGCCATTCCCAGGGGTGTATTGAAGGCCCCTCCGGGCACCCACCCTGCTCTTGGAAGCAGTAAGGGACTAGGCCGCCTTCAGCATTTGAAACGCCAGCATCAGAGCAATGCACAAGTCCCCGGAAGGCTCTTTTACCTTGTGCCGGGCGATGTGACCGCTCTGTCGCCATCTGTGACCTCCACGTGAGGACCTGTGCAGAAATAAGAAGAAACACAGGAGTTTCTTTTAGGCCCTGGAGTGTGACGGACGCTCCACAGGCCTGCGCTGAAGGCAAAAGCAGGAGACAAACCAGGGCTCCTGGTCCCTGGGGAAGAGTCATGAGGAAAGACCTGAGCCTCCATGTTCAGAGGGGTGACGAGCAGGTCGGGGCCCACAAGACACATCCCGAGACCCTGGCTTCCCCACTAGACCTCCCGTACCTCGGCTTCCTCCTCTGAAAACAAGGGTTGGGTGAGGATTCCCGTACACAGTGCCTGGTGCACCCCAAAGCAGACCCACCGCCGTGACCGCGAGTCCAGCTCATGGAGACTCTGGAGGACAGTAAGATGGCTCCTCTGGATTTGAGATGGTAACTTCCCAGGACTAGAAAGCCTCATCTTTCTCCCTCCGAGCATCCGGTGGGTTTGAACTGCTGGCCTTGCCAATGCATCCCCCACTAGGTGACCAGGGCTCCCAGAGCTGGTGCACAGGAAGTCATCAAACCAGATCAAACTCCGTGCCATCGAGTCGATGCCAACGCGGAGTCCCTGTGCTGTAGGGCAGCAGGGAACTGCGTGGGCTTCTGAGGGTGTAGCCCTTTATGGGAGTGGACAGTCTCAGTGTTTTCCCTCAGTGCAGCGACCCCCTACTCCCTATCTCTGTGTCACCTTGTCACCCCAAGTGCAGCTCTGTGAAACCGCCTCCTCCGACCCCATCTTTCACGAACACCAAGGTTCCCAAATATCTTCCAGGGTAATCTGTGAGTCCACTTGACCTTGTGGGCTGTGCTAACCACAAGATGAGCAGTTCTAGCCCACCAGCCACTCCTTGGGAGAAAGGCAGGCTTTCTGCCCCTGTAGAGATTCATAATCTTGGACCCCCACGGGGGCAGTTCCACCCTGGCCTGGAGGGTTGCTGTCAGTCAGAACTGACTTGATGGCAGTGAGGGCCGAGGTTTTTGGCTTCCCCAGAACTTAAGGAGATGGCGTGGGACTCTTTCCCCCTAAAGTTGGACATGGGGGCTACGAAACTGTAATGTCCCCTCAAGCAGCTCTAACTCCCTCCGCAAGACATTCGTGTCCTCCAGCCATCCCAAGAGCATTTCAGAAGCAGGGACCAGGCTCAAAGCCCAGACCCCAGCCTTGCAGTGGCTGGTGGCTAGTGGCCAGCGATGTCCAGAATCCACCTGCTGCTGTGCGTGAGGCCAAGGTGAGCCTCACCGTCCTTCATTGAGGACACAGAAGCTGCCCAGCATCCGAACTGGGTAGGGGTGAAGGCGGGGTCTGTGGCTGGATGACACCTTCACAGATGTCACTGACTCTGCCCGGAACGTCGCGGTTGGCTTGACCGTGCGCAAACAGCAAGGAAGAGGGCGGGCTCGGCATGCACCCAAGCTTGCGCTGGATGAGAGCCCGAGGGAAGGACCGAGCAGCCCACTGTCACCACCCGCTCCACAACGCCCTTACCTGGCTGCTCTGCCGGCTCCAAGAAAGGCCTGTAAGAAAAGCAGCAGGGTCACCCAACAGGAAGACTGACCACAACCGCTCAGGTGTCCCTGCCTTTTGAATGCTCGCTTTATGCCACTTCGGTTTAAGGAGAGAGGGACGTACGCGGTCAGCCAGAGTACAGCGCTCGGTTCCAGTTCACACACGGCC